CAGGCGGCGAAAAGCACGCATACAAATGCCCAGCCAATCTGGCATTCAGTATGTCAGTGCCAAATTGAGTTATTTTGCAGTATATAGTGCCTTCAATAACTTTAAGAACTATCAAGCATATCATATTTTTTTATTTGGTCATTCATTCATATTTCTTAATCGCTACACCCAGACCATGGCAGGTGAGAAAAGTAGTGCTGCCGCAATTAGTCGACTTAGTCGACGTAATCGACCATGCAAATTAGTCGACGGCAATTTTTTTAGTCGACGTGTCTTTTTACTATTGACCGCTATTTATTTTTGGTCTCCCGTCACAAACGGCTCACTGTAATTCACCTCCACACACCAGTCTGTGCGCCGTGCGCGCCCTGCTGGTTTATCTGTTATCATTTTCCTTCACGTTCCCGCCTGCCTTCACTGCTTTGATATGAAAAATTGCGGAGGCAGGTGACGGAGCTTTCTCAGCGGGCTCGTTTGCTGCAGTCCGAGCGCGAGCGCGATTGTTCCCGGTGCCCCCCGCAGCGTTGGTCTGGTTTCACACTCAATTCTATCGAACCCTGTTGAGTTTGCATGCATCTTATGCCATCGCAAACGTGCACGGCGCATGATAGAAAACAGAACGCGGGTCAATATATTGTGTTTTTCAAACGGACTCTTTTGAGGAGACAGTGGATTTCCAAATGTGTTGCCCTGATTGCACACGCAATGCGCGAATACACTGCAGACTCAACTCTCGCGTATCCAAGGTAAATCATCAACACTATCGTCCCTTTCATGTGTTTTATTTAACTAAATGCATCATAATCAGCTAAAACACATGGGCAGGTTACTTAACTTCCTGAACAAGCGCTCCCGAGTCCGTGTTGCTTTCACATTCACGCGAACCGCGGCACGGGCTCGCCATACACGCAAGTGTAAACGCGAGCTACATAACTGCGTGCCTGCCTGCTTTCAGCGCGACTCATAGTGGGCTAGTCCAGACTCTTTCAATTCAATTCCAATTTATTTGTATAGCGCTTTTCACAGAAAATGCATTGCATCTACTTTACTATTCAGAGTGATGTTATCAGTTATGCTTTTCAGAAATGTACATAAATTAATCATTATTAGCTTACTGTACATTTTTTAAGGCAGAACAAAGAGCTAATTTAAGTAATACATACATGTTTGTTATTAGAGGATTAGATTAGGACTCTGACTAATATGGTATAGCCTAATGGAAATGCAGATACTTAATGCTTAGATTGTTAATGCATAATGTTTTTGAACAGGTGACATTTTATGTTTTGGCCCTTCAGTTGAGTTCAAAATAAAATGGACACAACAAAATAAACACTTGATTTTTTTTTAATTAGTCGTTTAGATTAGTCGACTAATCGAAAAATTAGTCGAAAGATTAGTCGTTAGAAAATTAGTCGTTAGTGGCAGCACTAGAGAAAAGTACGCTTTCTTCACACAGACCACTAACTGACATAACGTGCACAACATCTGTAACCTTGTGAAAATAATGCATTACAGCTTTATTTAAATTAGGTTTAATTCCATTCATTATAATAATTTTTGTGAGACATTTTAATTTTTGTGGTGAAATGGCGATTATGCCCGATTGGCAATAAAATGCAACATTTTGTTGATTTTGCGTTGTATTAAGTGATCGCAGATTTGCGAAAAACTGGAAGGACTGACTGAAAGCATACATGTTTGAATGTGATGGTCTAGCGCTCCTCACTGTCTGACTGACATTACTTCAAGTATAGTCTGATTTGTATTCACATTTGCATTTCAATTTGTTTTTACATCCATTTGCAGTGGGTTTGTCTTCATCTAACTGTACAGCAAGTTAGAATTACCGTAATGACTCTTGAAAAGGGGCAAATTTTGATGGGTCTGACGTCTTACTGCAGGTGGAAGAGGAACTTTTGGAGCAGGAGTTTCTTGAACGCTGTTTCCAGGAGATGTTGGAGGAGGAGGATCAGGATTGGTTCATTCCTGCCAGAGACCTTCCCCCTGGTGTAGGGCAGATCCAACAGCAGCTTAGCGGGTTGTCGGTCAGTGACGGAAACGCCGAAGACATCGCAGTAAGTGTCATCCTTCCTGAAAGGAAACCACTTTGTAGACCTTAAATAAACTTTTGTGATATTGTACTCATGTGTACTTCATCTCTGTTCTTTCTCAGCGCAAAAGCAGCTTGAACCCAGAGGCCAAGGAGTTTGTTCCTGGAGTGAAATACTAGAGACCCTCCAGTTAGGGGCTCCTTTATAGAGACTTTATGTGACCGCTGGTGGCCAGGGGTCACCCTCACACATACTTCAATCTTCCTGGGGTTGTGTGGGGCTTGATGGGGTGGGGCTTGTGGGTGGGGGGGAGGGGGTGCTGGATGCTCTTCTATAAGCTTTTTATTTCCGTCTGTCTCCATGTATAACGTGGGCGGGTTGCTCCGTGTAATGTTCCTATTGGACCGCTGCAGATTGTGACTAGTTCTCCTGGAAGATCTTTGTATTAATCTCAGAGGAACAGTTGTGTGAGTTCCACTATCGTGATAGTGACTAGCAGTTTGTCCCCGTGTCATTGCCATTTTCTTTTTTTCCTGTCTTCTCTTTTATTTTCTTTAAAAGGAAGTTTGGCGGGGAGGTGTGTGTCATACGAGTGGGAGGGGAAAGGGCTGGGACAAAGGAAACCTTACAGTACAAGGACTGTTGACAGGTGGACCATTCTTTGATGGACAGAACTGGTGGCAGCTGACAACTGTTGAGGGATTTTCACAGAAACATTTTCCTGTTTCTTTTTTCCTTCCTCCGTTGAAGTTCTGTCACAGTGTGCAACATGCATTAACAAAAATGGAAAAAAATCAAATAAAACAAGCAGGTTGATGATGTTGGAAGATGTTTTGTGTTTGTGCTTTCTATGTAATGTAAAGTAAACCTCAGTCTTGACAGTTCTCATCCCAAAGTTTTACTTCAGTAAATGCAGTAGCATCATAGCACCATTGTTTTGTTTTGACTAACATGCTGTCAAGAATACCAGAGGACCATATTACAATTTTAACTTTAACAAAAGCCTTTTTAGGGCCTTTTTTTTATATTTAATGGTTTCAGGGTAGATAAGCAGTATTAGACTAGTGAGATGTTACAGTGTTTCATTCAAACCGGGTTGATCATTTGTGATATTGAGAGTCTTTGGGCTGCAAATTGCTATTAAATCCATCAGTTGGTGAGCTAAATAATTATTGCAATGTAAATTGAACTAAATCATAAAAAGGCATGCTGCTACAAAATGTTTTCCTTAATAATTTCATGTTTTTTTTTCAGGCTTTTTAACATCACATTGTTTTTTTAATTGACCGATGCGATGCAGTATATTGTAAATTGTCAGCAGTAGCTGTTCTTGTTTCTGGCAGGATTCTTGTTGACTGTATTGAAATGAGGGATTTTCCCAGTGTCTGTAGTCTCATGTTATCGACTGGCTAGCCTAAACACTAGTCCAAAGTCTCTCAGAAGGCATCTTTTCAGTGTATAACTCTTTACATGTTAGTATGTATTTGCTTAGGGCAGTATTTGGATTACCCAGGGATAACTGCAGACAGATAGGTCAGGTGTTGCTTAATCAAACACTGTCATAGTGAAACTGCTCCACCTTTTGAAACAAGGGATTTGTATTATTTTGTGCTTAATAGCAAAGAATATTTCATATTAACATTCCAGATTTTTGGGGGTTCATGGATTTTTCATTTATTTTGAGTGCTGTACCAGTTTCTCGCTTCCCTGATTTCTTGATTCTTTAAGATATTTATATTCTGTAGATGACATATAACATATGTCATATATAACATGACATATTCTGTTGATGACATATAACTATTTTCTATTGAGGTCGATTACCATGATTTTTTTTTTAAATCAAGATACCTTTTTCCTATAGGTACTGTTCTGAGACTTTCCACACTGTTTATATATCCAAGCAGATGTTTTACCATAAAACTGTCTTGTATGTCCTGCATTAGAGATTTTGCCTAGGTTCCCCTTACAGTATAAGTTTGAGTGAAGGTCTGTAGAAGTGTGGTGTGAAACAAGATATGAGGAGCAGCCCGGATGAAGTGCTGTTCAAGAGCCTGGACTCTGCTGTAGGTAGTCCAAATAATCTGGCATTCAATTGCTGGTGCAACAATTGAATGATGTCAGAGGATGATGGCGTTTACATATTTGATCCTTCATTAAGTAATAGTGTGAATGAATGACTGTTTTTAGACCATTGCTCACTTTAACACACATTAGATCATGCTGTGTGTCTATGAGTCTATGTCTGTGTGCCAATCTGAGCATGTAGCTACGTAGTTCTGATATTTGCTTTGCACACTGTAAAGCAGTTTGGTTCAACTTGCGTTGTTTTTAAATGTGCTCTATATATGGTTTAGTTTTGTTGAGATTGTACCCTACTAAAATTGTTTGTGCACAGTGGCTTTGTACTTTAAATTCTCTGTATATTCCATATGGGCTTATGATTTTAAATAGTGAAACCTGGCATATTTTAATGTTTATTTATACTTGATGCCCAACTGTAGAAAGTGCTTATGGTGGAGTACAGTAAAGGTTCATGGTCAAGAGTTCAACATATTCACTCGATTTATGTCTGAATTATACATTTGAATGTTTTTCTTCTGTTTGGTCTAATACATGTATAAATAAGCATCAAAAAGCTGAATAACCATGGCACACATCTTAGTTAAGCATTTATTATCTTGATATACACTTTTTATAAGGCTTTTCAACTCAAATGTGTGCCATGTGGTCATCCAGCTGTTTGATGTTTATAATAGGATACATTGATTAGACCGAACGGAGATGTTAATGTTGAGGAAATAAGAAAAACATTCAAATGTATAATTCATATACAGATCAAGTGAAATTGCTGTTAATCAAACAGTGGTTGTCATTTTTTGTTTAAGAGGAGGAGTCTAAGTTTGCACTTACTCTACCTCATGTAATAGGCTTGGTAATATGTTTAACAGTTTAAAGAGGTCACACATTGCGCTGTAAAAGGATCAACTTTTTTTAAAGCAATTTTTGAGCTGTCAGAGATTAAGGAAATAGACATGGACACACGCGGGAAACAAGGTGAAGTTTACCTACAACATCAGAAACATGGTGAGGTAAGACATCATCGGAACATTGTAATTTATTTTGTGCCATTGCAACCCGGCAGACGTTTTTTGTTTGTCAACCTCTAGTCTAAAACTACAAAATGTTCTGAGCTGATCTAAGTAAAAACAGTCTTAATAAAAATGGTTATGAAACTGTTTACCATGATGCACTCTTAATATTGATATTCTTGTTTGTAAAAAACTTATATAAAGCAGGGCTAATAATCCTGATGGTATTTGCTCAAGGTTTTTTTTTTTTTTTTTTTTGCTCTCATATGTTTTACCATGAACTCTCTGGTGTAAAGTTATGTTCTGGTATGAGACGGAACTGCCTCTACAAGTTGAAACTTGGTGCGCACATCTCGGTCTTGATTTTCATATTACGGTACATTCCAATGACAGAAAACCACGCCCTTATGAAAGTACACTTCACGTTGTACTGCATTCAGGCCCTACCTAACACACACAATACATGTGAGGTAAATGAGGGATTGGCTGATTGAGTAATCTACATCCGTACCTCCAACATGAGGTGCTTTTTAAGCACTTTTTACAATGAGTCCAGAGGTGTGCTCATTACCTGATGTACAAGTTCCACCTGAAAAACATCCATCAGATCTGACTGGAACTTGTCAAACGTGATAAATGTAACTTTCATTTGGTATATTGCATAAAAATGCATTAGGGAAATGATAAATATAAGCTGCTAAGTAATAATATTTGATTTGATTTTAACAGAAGTGGAAGCGATATTGGTTGGCCCTTTATCCGGCAAGTCGGCATGGCATTGCACGCCTAGAATTATCAGAAGCCGTTCACGAACGGTCAACTGTGGTGGTCAGACGACACCTGGAGAGGAAAGTTGTACGTCTGGCTGACTGTGTGAGTGTATTCAAGCTGCCTCCACATGCAGAGGCTTGTCCAGGGGAAAACATGGCTGCCTTCTGTTTGGAGACTGAGGACAAGAGGCTGGTGTTTGCAGCAGAGAGAGAAAGCTGTGGAGAATGGGTGGACATAATATGTAACATTGCCTTTCAGGTGAGGGTTCTGTATTTTATAAGCATATAGATTCTGTTTTAAAGAAATACTTTTATTCAGCAAGGATGCATTAAACTGATCAAAAGCGACTATAACGACATGTATAATGGTAGGCCTACAAAATATTGTATTTCTATTTCAAATAAATGCTGTTTTTTTTTATTTATTTTTTTTATCCTGAAACAAAAAACACAGCTGCTTTCAACTTATAGCCTAATATATGTGTGGTGATAATAATAATAATAATAATAATAAGTGTTTCTGAAGCACCAAATTAACATATTCAAAATTATTTCTGAATATAGACAATATAGACTGGAGTAATGGCTGCTGAAAACTCATCTTTGCCATCCCAGAAATAAATGACATTTTAAAATATATTAAACAGTTCTTTTCAATTGTAATAACATTTAACAATCTCACTGTTTTTACTGTATTTTTAATTAATGCAGGCATGATGAGCCTAAGAGGCTTCTTTCAAAAACATAAAAATATTACCAACCCTAAACACTTTGAACAGTAGTGTATGTATTCATAATTTTTTTCTGTCATAGAAACACACTAAAAGTGCTCCACAACCGGTACCACTTATGGAGGACAATCAGATCTACATGTCCAGAGAACAACGTGAGTACACACAAATGTATCTGAACAATTTGCTGTCGTGTTCCTGAATTCGGACCTTCATGCAGACCTGGTTTAAAACATAAATAGATTATATAATCTCTGAACTCTGAATTTTCATTCATTCTTTATTTGACCAGGTTAAAAATGAATCACGCTTTAAGATTAATTCTGATCATCTAATCTCAATATCTCTTTCATTTTAGTGAGTGAGTTCAAAGTAGTTGTGCTGCAGAGTGAGTCTTCAGTTCGTTGTGGCCTGAAAGGACAGTACTGGCTGCAAGCTGGTGAAGACATACTTGTTCTACAAGATCTGGAGACCAGGAAGACTGTAATGGAGTGGCCATACAAGCTGCTGCGCCGCTACGGGCGAGATAAGGTCAGCTGTAACCATGGACTTGATAAAGTGCAGGACCGTGATGATGTGTAAAAAAAATATGCTGTTAAATTCAGTGCAAAACGCTGGCAGCTGTGGTACAGCCTAAAAGTTTTAATGTAGGCGGGCATTGTGATCCTGTATATTGTAAAATTATAACATACATATATTAATACAGAGCCCCTGAAGGGGCACGGTGATGGGGGAAAAATGAGACGGGAGGAAAAATTTTATTTTGGTGAATTTCTGTTTGTTCGCAAAACTCCTGATGAAAATAATATGAAGTGGGAGGAAAAAAAATCCTGTGTATATATATGTCTGTCAGTGTGTGCATATACCTTACACACACATATATATATATTATCAAGATAATCAATAACATCCATTTTTATATAATTTTTTTCCATTGAAATTTCATTTTTTGTACAAATAGTGCATACAAATATTTTCAACATTCTGTCTATTCCTCTCCAGATGGTGTTTTCAATAGAAGCAGGCAGGCGCTGTGAATCAGGCCCCGGCACCTTTAACTTTGAGACCAGGCAGAGTGAAGAGATCCTCCGCCTTATCGAGTCAGTTATTCGGCAACAGAAGAGCCTTGCCGTTACTGGAGACAGGCACTCGCCACATTCTCCACGTTCTCGCTCTCCTCGCTCACCCCTGCCTAAACGCCCTGAAAGTGTTCCTTTGCTTGATACAGAGGGCAACAACAGCCCTCAGCTTTCGGACTCAAAACTGCCCTTGTACCCTGATCCAGCAGATGCTCTTGGCCCAAACATCTCAAATCCTGTACTTACAAAACCTGTGAGTCCTATTGGCTCAACCGAAGCTGTATATGCAAACCCCGCAGATTGCATAAGCTCCTCAAAAAGCACACTCTCAAATCCTAGTGGCGGAATTAGCTTGATTGAGCCTGTGTATTCAAATCCTGTCATTTTATTAGGCAGACATGAATCACAGCCAGCAGATCTCATCAAATCGCATCATGCTGTAAATAAAGAGCCTCTCCCATCTCCTGATAGGGATGATTCAGAACCAGTGTATTCTGATCCTGCTGATTTTATCCGCCCAAAACCCAACAATTGTGTCCATGCCAACCCTACTGACACGATGGACTGTCAGGCCGTCAAGACGATGTTGAACAACGACAAGCAGCAAGAACCTGTGTACTCTGAGGTGTATGACCATGTCGCACTAATCTCAAGTAAAAAACTTGACCAGAGGATTGAGGAGCCCATTTATAGTGTACCCGATGTCATACAGGCAACCCAAAACAATAACCCTCAACAAAACAAAATGACTGATGAGAACCAACCCATCTACAGCAAAGTTAACAAACCACCCAAAACTCCTCAGGCTCTCGAAGAAAAGAGGCTAGGCCAAACACGAGAGGTTGTCTCTGAGGACCTTGGAATGATTTAACTAAATCTGTAATATAATTTCTTTACACAAACATGTAGCTTTTAATTTGTAATATTTAACATTTTATTCTCCCCCAACCCCACCCCACTGATATCATAATTTATTAATCCATTCTACCAGACGTGGTGGAATAATGACTGAAAATAAATATTCTAATTGTGTAACACTGAAAGTTGTTTTCAATTTTTTTTTTGTGTTGTGTGTGTGTTATATACACACACAAATATATATATATATATATATATATATATATATATATATATATATATATATATATATATATATATATATATATATATATATATATATATATATATATATATATTGGCTTCATATGAGCAAGCACATGGCTAAAATATCAGCAGACCAGACCATACCAGTGAAAAAATAAATAATTCAGGGATCCAGTTAGAAAACAGGTTTGGAACTATATGAGAGTTAATAAAAGATTACTGAGACACTATTAGTTTTGGAGATAACAGTCCCCTTTAACCCTTATGTGATGTTGAGGGTCAGTTTGACCCATTTTGACTTGAGTTGTCGGAAATACCGGATAAACCTATAATTTTTTCTTAACACTTTGTGACTCCTCATTTAGTCATAAACATGCATGCAGAGTGAGGATACACTGATGTGTTTTGAAGTGTAGGTTACACAATTTCTATTATGATTCTGATGTTTGCTTGTCAATTTGACCCACATATTTTTATGTTCCAAGGCAACTGTAAAATAAAAACATTTCCTGGATTTATGTTGGTATGTTGATTTTTTTTTTTTACTACCCAGTGAAGGTAAAAAGGAGCTTTTCCACACTATTTTCAGTACTAAAAAAAACAGATGGTACCAACACAGATGGTAGAAATGAGCTATCATTTTTATTTTCAATCTATCTAAAATAATATTTAACCTATGAATTATTTTCCCCCTGAAATGTTGTGACTTTATCTCATTTGGGGTCATGAACATGTGTGCAAAGTCAGGATACACTGTGTTGTGGAATATGCATACATCATTTTTATACGATTTTGATGTTCACGGGTCAATTTGACCCGCATAGGCAGCTGCTCAGAGGCAGCTCTATAGACCCAAAATAAAACCATTTATTTGATGTATCATGTCGTGGCTCTTCAACTCCGGTCCTAAAGGGCTAGTGTCTTGCTGCAAACCCAAACTAAACACACTCGATAAAACTAATATCACAGGGTTCAGAATTACTGACAAATTATAGATAAATTAAATTGGGGTTGGCTCTAAAGTCTGCAGAATACTGACCCCTTACATACAACATGGAGTTACACATTTTATTTTTGTTTCTTATTACACTGTTAAGGTAAAAATGAGCTTTCCCCACAAATTTTCAGTAATGAAAAAAATACACAGATAAAAATAAGCTCATTTCTGTTTATTTCTTCTTCTTTTTTTTTTTGACAAACGTGAAACCGATGTCATGAGCTTACTTGGCATATTATTGAAAGTGGTTAAAACATTTTTATAAATCACAAGTCTGATAGTGTTGATATTAAAAGTTTACTGTTTGTACCTGATTCTTTGTTTTTCATAGTGTGATTTTTGGGGAATCGTATTGAATCCAATGTGGGTCAGAAATCGAGGGTTAAAAGCTGTTTAGCCCAAAATAACCAAACCAGAACTGAGAGAGCAGCCAAAGATTATCAGTTTTATTAATTCAGCGAATGTATTAACAAAGACTATACATGTATTAGGCAGTGTCGACACCTTTCTTTTACTGTCCATGGTCGACACTAGATTGGTGTGCGCTGTAAAACAGTCTTTATGGCTTTTACGTCATCACTACTGACCGGAAGTGCTTAACGATGTCAAACCCGAGCAACTGATTGTTATTCTCACGATGTTTTGAAGATTTTCTTCAAATTTCGGATTTTTTTTAATCATTTTTATTCATCTCCCAAAACACTGAACGTTTATTGAAACGTGCTGTAGAACGCTTTATCGTTTACCATGTCGAATCGCATCGCTTTCCAGACGCAGTTAGCTTCCATTATGGAGGTGCTGGCTAATGCTGCGGTGGCTGAGATATGTAAACTCGTTGACGACGACTACGCGATTATAAACTTACAGATGACTCAATGTCAGCGTGAAAACAAATCGCTGAAGAGAAAACTTCACATACTGGAGCTTAAGATGGCACGAGGGTTTGCAGAGAGAAGGATGAGTTCACTGAATCGCACTAACCGAGTTCAAGTGAACGCCGCTTTGTCTGAGAAATACAGGAACCAATCTAACGGTGTGTTGCCATAAAACCTCACATGCTATTCTACTGTCAAGTGTATCTGTCACACCAAATAAACTATCAATAATTATGTGGTTAATGTACACTGTGTTGTGTTGTTTCTCCGGTTTTCATACATTCAGACGTCCTGTATGGAGCTCAGTTTAACACGGGACTGTGGAGAGGTGGAGCGACAGACTCGACTCCTCAGCAGGCTGTAAATGAAAGTAACAGTATGGTAGGTAAGCTATCTCTTTATGATAACCGCAATAACTAATTTAGCACGTTTTTATTGTTACATTTAATAATGACCACAAATTGTACAGCAAATAGATAGTCTATCATATAAAAATGAACGATAGATAAAATTGTTATATGGGCAAATAAGTGTATATAGATTATCTATTATATACAAATAAATAATAGATAGATAAACGGTTAAATTAGACAAATGATAGATAGATCGATAATATTTAGCTACACTACATAATATATCTATAAGTGTATAATACATACAGATTTATTAAACATTTCCTTTCATTTCAAAAGACAGGAGATGCAGTAATTTCAGAAGTAAACACCGTGCTGATAAAGGATGAGATGTTTGAGGAGGACCAAACACAGCAGAGATTGTTCATCAGAGATGGTGGTGAGTGGATGGAAGAACATAAGCCTCCTATTATAAACGATGTAACCAACAATAATACCCGTCTTAAAACTTGACTAGACACTGTTTCTCTTCTTTCAGAAGTAACAAATACTCCACCACAGACTGGAGAAGCTGGTTTTAGAGATGTTCAGATGGTGAAAGATGATGATCAAGTCTCTGGGATGCAGCTACCGACTTTGGAGGTCAGTGGATCTGACACTGCGCTAAAATCTGAGCCAGAGTTTGAGAGTGTTAATGGGATTTCACAAGAGCCCATAGAATTACATGCTGAAGCAAAGTGTGATTTGAATGGAAAATCCAGTCCTATGAGGGATTATTTAATGCAAGGGAGTGACAATACAGACTTGCGGCAGCGATCTTGCGTGTACATGAACAATGCAAGATTGACTGAGAGCCAATCCACTGCCTCTGTACGGCGTTCAGAGATCATAGAGGTTGACTCTGCGGAGGAGGGGGAAGAGATTTCTGTGTGGGCTAGGAAAGTAACGCAAGAGAAAAGCCAGGCTCCACGTGTTTATCCACAATACGGGAGGGTGGAACATCAGGATAGCATGGTCCTCTTGCCTTCCTCCAATCCGCCTCTGGTGTCAAGTGGCTTTGCAGCGGTGGCATCGACATCTTCAAAAATACAGGGCACGGACAGCTACCACAATTTCAGAGATGTCAGTTTTAACCAACAAAGAGTTGGTCGGACTAGAAATGACAGAGTTCCTCGCGAAAAACTTTTTGCGTGCACATACTGTGGCAAAGTTTTCAACCGCCCCAAAAAGGTGGTGATCCACCAGCGGATTCACACAGGTGAGAAGCCGTTCAAATGTAACACCTGTGGGAAGTTCTTCTCAGAGGCGGGAAACCTGAGAAAGCACCAAAAAGTCCACACAGGAGAACGACCATATAGTTGTAACCAGTGTGGGCAGACATTTGCCTGGATACGGAACCTCAAAAACCACCAGCAGAAGAACCATCCTGATATGTTTACCGCAGAAGAACTGCTTTCTCTAGGAGTCAATAAATGATCACTAGATTACTCATAAGATCAGTGACCATGAGTGTGTATTATACCACTATCATATCTTTTCTGGATAAAGACTTTCATTGAAATTATATGCATTAGGGCTCGACATTAAGCCTTTTCATGTGCTTGTCCTTCAGACAAGTAAATCAGTCATTCACTTGTCTGAGTAAAAATATTTGCTTGTCTGGAAAAAATAGGATTTTTGTGGTGTAAATATAATTTATTCTGAAGCAATATTCTCATCAGTTCTATCAGCTTTTACATTTAAATCTGCGTATTTCTGATATTTACCCGGGTTTTTTTTTTTTTTTTTACCTTTATAAAGGCCTTTTCTCCCTTAATCTTATTAAATGTATGCTTCATCTTTCATTTCAAATTCTTAAATTTGATCAATAAATTTTATTAAAATAATACGGCACAATAGGGCTGGAACCAATCAAATTAAATAATTTACACTGAAAAATTGCAACTGCATTGAATAATGTTATGAAATTGTTTTAAAAATATTTTGAATATACAAATAAGAAATGTATAAGAAACCAGTAGGTGACGGCAGGTGACCGTTTCAATGAGCAAGTCATTCATTCAAACGTCTGATTCATTCAATAATGAGGCAGTTGTTTATGAACCGGTCATTGAATCTGACTCAACAGATTTGTTCAAAACACTGATTCAGTAATGAGAACACGGCTGAGTGTTGCTGTGAGATGCGCTATGGTTCTGCTGTGATCTTTGTTTGGAAATATTTTTGCTGCTGAATTGGAACAAAAACAGTCAATATTGCATCTTAAATGTAAATGACTTAATATAAACTACTTGTTTATTGAACTGTTGTATGATGCTATTCAGGAAAACTGCACTCTTGGTCGTGTGATGTGGCTTAACTGTATCATATGTTATAAATATAAAAACTCACATTTTGAAGTTTTACTGCAGTATGTTAACTGAGTTTCTTTTTCCTCGAGAACCTTGTTACCATCAGTGCATTATAGTACGTACGTTACATATTAGCTATTATCCACCATCAATCGCCTTTTACACTAAATTAAATAAAATCAGAATAATTCTCGCGTTTAGGTGATTCCATATTATTATTATTTTTTAATTTATTGACGTTTTAAACAGGCCACGTGTCCTGTCGGGCAAGTAAAATTCTCTTTCATTTGCCCTTTCAAAAAAATCCACTTGTTCCGGACAAGCGTTAATGTCGAGTCCTTACATGATTTACATTGTTTTTGATCAATAGTGATGCGAGTCAAAGTGTTTTTATATAATTAACAATTTCAGAGTTAAGCTCTGTGCTGTGGTGTTCTGTAGAAAAAGTGAAGAGAGTCGAAATGGTTCCAAGCATTTTTTTTTTTGGTATATTATATAAATTGTTTGACATGTGTAAATAAACATTTCTGCACTCATTTTGTGTTTGTTTTTTGAAGAACAGCAAAACACTTAGTATGTTTTTGAGACCAATGCCTGTCTCTTATTGGTGTTATATAAAGTAATGACCGTAGGCAGGTAGTTTCAGGACAGGGAAACCATTTAAATAATATTCAGAAGCTCTGTGCAATAACAATTTCAGTTTTTTCCTTTTACAAAACTGAAATTGTGATTAATGAAAAGATGGAATGATTACTTCCACATACCACACTAAAGGACACAACCATTGTTAAATACTATAAATCATACTCTGGTTGTTCAACAGTGGCATAAATACTTTCCCACTTTTGTTTTTTAAGTAAGGAAAAGCTGTTTCTAATTGTTCATATTAGGAACATTATGACACTGCACACCCTCACAACTCATTATATACAAGAAATACCTAGTTAATTTAGACGGTGGAAGCTTTATTCATGTATACACAACCTTTATGTTTCATGTGCCAGCCAGGGTCATGTTGTGTAACAAAACCTTGTTTCGTGTGTTCAGCAGCAAGGACAGGTGGAAGATGGACAACCTGAAACAATAGTGATAAAGGAGGATCTAAATGACCAGTGGGAAAGAAGCCAGACACAAGCCATAATTGTGCAGGATGGTGAGTAGAGGGCCAAAAAGCAGTCATTGAATTGCTGCTTAAGTGAATGGTAGAATATATCATTTTTGGCCAGGCTGTTATACAAAGAAATTATGATCCCATGCAAAAACAAGAGAGAACCAACTAAATATTTATAATTTTGCATAGTAGGCCTATATGATTCCACAGAGTAAAACCTGTAGCTGTAGTTTGCCTGACTAAAATAATTTAGTCAGATAAATACTTTAAGTTTAGTGTTTTGTTCTTCCCTCATATTAAAAATATATATATTTTTGGCTACTACTACTGTATATATACATTTCTCAAAATATCTTCTTTTATGGTATGAAGGGGAAATTTTCTTTTTTGGGTGAACTAATCCTTTAACATTTAGCCTACATACTTTTGGTCTGGAATCTTGTATCAAAACAATTAACATTCATTCTCTTTTCCTCTGGGTCAGCAGAGTCAAATACAGACATTTGTAGTGGGAGACTTTCTACCTCACCAGCCAAAAGCACTGTTGCACCTGGAACAGAGAAGGTTTGTTTATTTACTGTTCTTTTAAAATGCAAAAGAAAAAAAAAAAGAACAGGAACAGGAAATTATCAAGCCACTGCTGCAGAAAAATATTTAGACACTTCAGGATGAATGTGAAAAATTAAATGTAGTTTTATATTGTTTCCAGCCTATAGAAGTGGAATTTTCCCATTTGAATGATAGAAGCCAGAAAACCGACTTTTCTCCATCCACTGGACTGCAGATAAACATACAGGGTGAGTAAATAATAATAATATGTTTTAATTATCAAGCGCCTATCCCAAGCTCAAGGTCGCTATACAGGCAGATAATAAAGTAAACATGGCATCAACAAGATACAGACATATATACATGCATATAAACATACATACATACATAGAAGGTTTAACCCATCAATGCATATTGATATACACTTTATATACACTTTTTAAACAATTTTACTAAATACTGTAGATTGAAAAAAGTTTGAATTTAGAGCTAAGAATATTTGCTAATTAAAAATGCTCTGACAATATATGAACATATTTACATTCAGGTACTGTGGAGTCCAGGCCTAGTAGTTCTCAACAGCACAGGTACCACAAGTTTGTTGTTCAACCTAGCAAGGGTCTAACAACAGGAGAAACGGCAGCTCTCGCAGATTCAGGGCACGTACTCAAGGGAATGGTGAAAAGCAGAACTTCACCCAAGAACCATGAAAAGACATCCACTGAAACTTCAGGAAAAGGCTGCTTGTATGAGAGACCTGCAGAGCATAAAACCAGCTTTACACACTGGCCCACACATCCATCCTGCTCATATACAGAGTCGGACCAGGATCAAGACTGTATGCTGGTTCAGTCAGACACTGTATCATCTGTTAGAAGCTTCAAAGGTGGACGGGATGGAGCACCATCTACCCAAACACATGCTGTTAGAAATGCAGGTGCAGCAGAGGGACCTATAAGAGAAGATGAAAGATGGAATCAAGCTGCCATTTTGAGGCAAAGCCAAACTGAAGCATCAGGCCACGTCAGTAGGCCCGAAACGATTCTGACGGAGACCGCAAGTACAACAAACCCCTCATATTTCACTGTGATTCCCCAAATGAGGTCCAACTTAACTCAGCCTGGGCCTTCTTTTGCTGGGCTGCAACTACCAAAGCACATGGACAAAGGTAGGCGGAAAAGTTACGTTTGTAAGTACTGTGGAAAGGGATTCCCTGGGCTGTCCAATGTCGTGGCACACCAGCGAGTGCATACAGGGGAGAGGCCCTTTAGGTGTGATACATGTGGGAAGCTGTTCACAGAGGCAGGCAACCTGAAGAAACACCAAAGAGTTCACACAGGAGAGAAACCCTTCATCTGTTCCCGCTGTGGGAAACGATTCGCCTGGATCTGCAACCTCAAGACACATCAGCAGTCATCCTCCTGTGAAGGAGTCGGATATAATTAAACATATCTGATGACAATGCAGGGCTTCCAACTTATGCCTTCTTATGAATCCAGTGTGTGTGTTTTTTTTATGTCAAAGGAATCATTATAATTAGTGATGGGACGGTTGATACCGGGGCTCCGACGCAGTTTTCACACACACTGTACTGATTCTTGTATCGAAATGACAATACCACGTGATTGATGACGTTTGAAGCTCCGAACGTCATGCAGTATCGGAAGGTCGGAACAGCTAGTTTGAAAAAAAAAAATGGCGCTTTACGACCCCACCTAATGCTTAAAAAGGGAAATTATTATCGAGAAGGCATTATTTATTTAAACGATTTAACACTATACTTAACCTATAACATAAATCATTGATCAATTATGGGGCGCCGCTAGTAATTTTGGGACCTATGAAAGAATATGAGGTTGGGCCCCGTTACTACTATAATCGATCTCTGGGGGCCCCAGAAGTGCATGGGCCCTTAGAATCGTCCTTATCTGCGGTGACTTGTAGATAATATGGTGGAGAAAACAAGTCTGACCACCCGATGTCGCTAATGCTCATTGTGTTCAAAGCTTCGAGTAATGAACCGTTTTTCAATTTGATGAAAGACTCAAACGCTTCAGAAAGCTTCGGTTTCCCACCACTAATTACAATATTCCTGGAATAAAGAAGATCTAAATTTAAATGGGGATAAGAATTATTAACTGAATGATTAATAGTAAGATTAAGATGTGTTGGTGTTACCAGTGAACTTACTCTTACGTTAGCAACTTCTATTGGTTCTAATGTTGAATGTCCGTGAATTGTAATACTGACAGTGAACAGCAGGTGGTGCACGAGCACTAATAATAAAAGAGCGCCCATCTGGGTTTTCTTTTTGTCATTATCCACGCTGTATTAGCGGGTCTGGCAGTCCAATGAAGTCTACTATTTTAAGTAATTTAAGTTATTGAATATAATTATATGTTTGTTTATTAATGTAATTTAGCGTTTCTTATTTGTTTTTTGTATCGAATATTTTAATCAACATTCGCACATTAGCACTTTAGCTTATTAGCAGCCTGGCTAGCTCAGTCGGTAGAGCATGAGACTCTTAATCTCAGGGTCGTGGGTTCGAGCCCCACGTTGGGCGATAATATTTATTGTTTTTGTTACAGAGAATTATTTCATCACAATCTGAACTCCAAAAGCAGATCTAAACGAAAAGGTAGGGTTCATATTTTCCAACATCTGGATTATCCAAATCAAAAATTCTAAAAAATGTGAAATGATTTATAACTTTCCTGTACATAAAACCAAGATTATATTTAACGTAGA